CAGGGCAGGACCCACTGGGATCCAGAAGAGGGATCTACTGGGATCCACTGGGATCCACGGCTGGGCCTACTGGGATCCACTGGGACCCAGAAGAGGGATCTACTGGGATCCAGTGGGACCCAGGGCTGGGCATACTGGGATCCACTGGGATCCAGGCTTGGATCCACTGGGATCCAGAAGGGGGATCTACTGGGATCCACTGGGACCCAGAGTTGGGTCTACTGGGATCCACTGGGATGCAGGGCAGGACCCACTGGGATCCAGAACAGGGATCAACTGGGATCCAGGGTGGGATCCCCTGGGGGGTACCCTCTGACTGGGACCCCGGGGGGATCCCCAACACCCCGGGATCTGCGAAGGATCCAGTGACCCGCGCGGGGTTCCGGTGTGAACTGGTCCGTACTGGTCTGTACTGGTCCGAACTGGTTTCTACTCACATGGCAGCGAGCTGGACACCACCACCCTCCCCCCCCCCGAGCTTGGTGAGGGGGACACCACAGGGGTCTGTTGCACTCTCCAAGGTTTCATACTGGTTTATACTGGTCTGTACTGGCTTCTACTGCTCCTTACTGGTTTCTACTGGTCTATACTGGTCCACACTGGTGTATACCCACCTGACATCCAGCTCAACACCACCACCCCCCCCCAGTGCTTGGATGACGGGGACACCACAGGGGTCTATCGCCCTCCCCGCTACTCCCTACTGGTTTCTACGGGTCTGTACTGGTTTCTACTGGTCTATACTGGTTTCCTACTGGTCCACACTGGTGTATACCCACCTGACATCCAGCTCAACACCACCACCCTCCCCCCAGGGCTTGGATGACGGGGACACCACAGGGGTCTATCACTCTCCCCGCTACTCCCTACTGGTTTCTACCACTCCATACTGGTTTCTACTGGTCTATACTGGTTTCTACTGGTCTATACTGGTTTCTACAGGTCTGCATTGGTTTATACTGGTCCATACTGGTGTATACCCACCTGACATCCAGCTTGACACCACAACCCTCCTCCCAGGGCTTGGATGACGGGGACACCACAGGGGTCTATCGCCCTCCCCGATACTCCCTACTGGTTTCTACCACTCCGTACTGGTTTCTACTGGTCTATACTGGTTTCTACTGGTCCACGCTGGTGTATAGTCACCTGACATCGAGCTCAACACCACCATCTTCCCCCCAGTGCTTGGATGATGGGGACACCACAGGGGTCTATCACCCTCCCCGCTACTCCAAACTGGTTTCTACTGGTCCGTACTGGGCTCCACCGCTCTGTAGTGGTTTCTACTGGTCTGTGTTGGTTTATACTGGTCTATACTGGTATATACTCACCTGACATCCAGCTCAACACCACCACCCCCCCCCAGGGCTTGGATGACGGGGACACCACAGGGGTCTACTGCTCTCCCCGCTACTCCCTACTGGTTTCTACTGGTCTATACTGGTTTATACTGGTCTATACTGGTTTCTACTGGCCCATACTGGTATATACTCACCTGACATCCAGCTCAACACCACCACCCCCCCCCAGGGCTTGGATGACGGGGACACCACAGGGGTCTACTGCTCTCCCCGCTACTCCCTACTGGTTTCTACTGGTCTATACTGGTTCCTACTGGTCTGTACTGGTTTCTACCGGTCTATACTGGTCTATACTGGTCCATACTGGTGTATACCCACCTGACATCCACTCAACACCACCACCTTCCCCCCAGGGCTCGGATGATGGGGACACCACAGGGGTCTATTGCCCTCCCCGCTACTCCCTACTGGTTTCTACTGGTCCGTACTGGTTTCTACTGGTCTATACTGGTTTCTACTGGTCCACACTGGTTTATAGTCACCTGACATGCAGCTCGATACCACCACCCTCCTCCCAGGGCTTGGATGACGGGGACACCACAGGGGTCTATCGCCCTCCCCACTACTCCCTACTGGTTTCTACCACTCCGTACTGGTTTCTACTGGTTTGTACTGGTCCGTACTGGTTTCTACTCACTTGGCGGCCAGCTTGACGCCGCAGGCCTCGCTGCAGTACTTGGAGGGGGGCCGCGCGGGGCGGGTGCAGCCGGGGCCCAGGCACTGGCCCAGCCCCGCGGGGTCGCGGGCGTCGGGGCGCTCCGGGTGCCGGCTCCGCTCCCGGTGCCGCGGCCGCTGCCGGTGCCGCTTGTACCGCTCCTCCTTCTGCACCAGTCACCACCAGTCACCACCAGTAGCCACCAGTACCGCACCGCCAGCACCCCGGGGTGAGGGGGGGGCGCGCCTGGAGCCCAGCTGGGGGCTACTGGGAGCTCTCAGTGGCCCTCCCAGTAACGCCCGGAGCATCTCAGTAACCACCAACACCCACCAGTACCTCCCAGTAGCCACCAGGACATCCCAGTAACCACCAACACCCCACCAGTACCTCCCAGTAGCCCTCCCAGTGACTCCCAGTAGCCCCCAGGACATCCCAGTGCCCATCATAATCTCCTAAAAGCCCTCCCAGTGAATCCCAGTAGCCCCCAAGGCTTCCCAGTAACCACCAACACCCCACCAGCACTTCCCAATAGCCCTCCCAGTGACTCCCAGTAGCCCCCAGGGCATCCCAGTGCCCACCAGAAGCTCCTAAAAGCCCTCCCAGTGACTCCCAGTAACCCCCAGTGCCCACCAGAAGCTCCTTAAAGTCCTCCCAGTAGCTCCCAGTAGCCCCCACGGCACCCCAGTAACCACCAACACCCCACCAGTACCTCCCAGTAGCCCTCCCAGTGACTCCCAGTAGCCCCCAGGACATCCCAGTGCCCATCATAATCTCCTAAAAGCCCTCCCAGTGAATCCCAGTAGCCCCCAAGGCTTCCCAGTAACCACCAACACCCCACCAGCACTTCCCAATAGCCCTCCCAGTGACTCCCAATAGCTCCCAGAGACCCCAGTGCCCACCAGAAGCTCCTTAAAGCCCTCCCAGTAGCCCCCTATGACTCCCAGTAGCCCCCAGGGACTCCCAGTGCCCACCAGAAGCTCCTTAAAGTCCTCCCAGTAGCTCCCAGTGACTCCCAGTAGCCCCCAGTGCCTCCCAGTAACCACCAACACCCCACCAGTACCTCCCAGTAGCCCTCCCAGTGACTCCCAGTAGCCCTCCTACTGGTCTGTACTGGTTTCTACCGGTCTATACTGGTCTATACTGGTCCATACTGGTGTATACCCACCTGACATCCACTCAACACCACCACCTTCCCCCCAGGGCTCGGATGATGGGGACACCACAGGGGTCTATTGCCCTCCCCGCTACTCCCTACTGGTTTCTACTGGTCCGTACTGGTTTCTACTGGTCTATACTGGTTTCTACTGGTCCACACTGGTTTATAGTCACCTGACATGCAGCTCGATACCACCACCCTCCTCCCAGGGCTTGGATGACGGGGACACCACAGGGGTCTATCGCCCTCCCCACTACTCCCTACTGGTTTCTACCACTCCGTACTGGTTTCTACTGGTTTGTACTGGTCCGTACTGGTTTCTACTCACTTGGCGGCCAGCTTGACGCCGCAGGCCTCGCTGCAGTACTTGGAGGGGGGCCGCGCGGGGCGGGTGCAGCCGGGGCCCAGGCACTGGCCCAGCCCCGCGGGGTCGCGGGCGTCGGGGCGCTCCGGGTGCCGGCTCCGCTCCCGGTGCCGCGGCCGCTGCCGGTGCCGCTTGTACCGCTCCTCCTTCTGCACCAGTCACCACCAGTCACCACCAGTAGCCACCAGTACCGCACCGCCAGCACCCCGGGGTGAGGGGGGGGCGCGCCTGGAGCCCAGCTGGGGGCTACTGGGAGCTCTCAGTGGCCCTCCCAGTAACGCCCGGAGCATCTCAGTAACCACCAACACCCACCAGTACCTCCCAGTAGCCACCAGGACATCCCAGTAACCACCAACACCCCACCAGTACCTCCCAGTAGCCCTCCCAGTGACTCCCAGTAGCCCCCAGGACATCCCAGTGCCCATCATAATCTCCTAAAAGCCCTCCCAGTGACTCCCAGTAGCCTCCACGGCACCCCAGTAACCACCAACACCCCATCAGTGCCTCCCAGTAGGCCTCCCAGTGACTCCAAGTAGCCCCCAGTGACTCCCAGTTCCCACCAGAAGCTCCTTAAAGTCCTCCCAGTAGCTCCCAGTAGCCCCCACGGCACCCCAGTAACCACCAACACCCCACCAGTACCTCCCAGTAGCCCTCCCAGTGACTCCCAGTAGCACCCAGGGCGTCCCAGAGCCCACCAGAAGCTTCTAAAAGCCCTCCCAGTGACTCCCAGTAACCCCCAGTGACTCCCAGTGCCCACCATAATCTCCTTAAAGCCCTCCCAGTACCCCCCAGTGACTCCCAATAGCTCCCAGGGCATCCCAGTGCCCACCAGAAGCTCCTTAAAGTCCTCCCAGTAGCTCCCAGTGACTCCCAGTAGCCTCCACGGCACCCCAGTAACCACCAACACCCCATCAGTGCCTCCCAGTAGGCCTCCCAGTGACTCCAAGTAGCCCCCAGTGACTCCCAGTTCCCACCAGAAGCTCCTTAAAGCCCCCCCCAGTAGCTCCCAGTGACTCCCAGTAGCCCCCTAGGCTTCCTAGTAACCACCAACACCCCACCAGTACCTCCCAGTAGCCCTCCCAGTGACTCCCAGTAGCCACCAGTGACTCCCAGTAGCCCCCAAGGCTTCCCAGTAACCACCAACACCCCACCAGCACTTCCCAGTAGCCCTCCCAGTGACTCCCAGTAGCCCTCCCAGGGCATCCCAGTGCCCACCAGAAGCTCCTTAAAGCCCTCCTAGTAGCCCTCCCAGTGACTCCCAGTAGCCCCCAGGGCATCCCAGTGCCCACCAGAAGCTCCTTAAAGCCCCCCCAGTAGCTCCTAGTGACTCCCAGTAGCCACCAGTGACTCCCAGTAACCACCAACACCCCACCAGTACCTCCCGGTAGCTCTCCCAGTGACTCCCAGTAACCCCCAGTGACTCCCAGTGCCCACCCGAAGCTCCTTAAAGCCCTCCCAGTAGCCCCCTATGACTCCCAGTAGCCCCCAGGGCCCCCCAGTAACCACCAACACCCCCCCAGTACCTCCCGGTAGCTCTCCCAGTGACTCCCAGTAGCCTCCAGTGACTCCCAGTAACCCCCAGTGACTCCCAGTGCCCACCCGAAGCTCCTTAAAGCCCTCCCAGTAGCCCCCTATGACTCCCAGTAGCCCCCAGGGCCCCCCAGTAACCACCAACACCCCCCCAGTACCTCCCGGTAGCTCTCCCAGTGACTCCCAGTAGCCTCCAGTGACTCCCAGTAACCCCCAGTGACTCCCAGTGCCCACCCGAAGCTCCTTAAAGCCCTCCCAGTAGCCCCCTATGACTCCCAGTAGCCCCCAGGGCCCCCCAGTAACCACCAACACCCCCCCAGTACCTCCCGGTAGCTCTCCCAGTGACTCCCAGTAGCCTCCAGTGACTCCCAGTAACCACCAACACCCCCCCAGTACCTCCCGGTAGCTCTCCCAGTGACTCCCAGTAACCACCAACACCCCACCAGCACTTCCCAATAGCCCTCCCAGTGACTCCCAATAGCTCCCAGAGACCCCAGTGCCCACCAGAAGCTCCTTAAAGCCCTCCCAGTAGCCCCCTATGACTCCCAGTAGCCCCCAGTGACTCCCAGTGCCCACCAGAAGCTCCTTAAAGTCCTCCCAGTAGCTCCCAGTGACTCCCAGTAGCCTCCAAGGCTTCCCAGTAACCACCAACACCCCACCAGCACTTCCCAGTAGCCCTCCCAGTGACTCCCAGTAGCCCCCAGGGCGTCCCAGTGCCCACCAGAAGCTTCTAAAAGCCCTCCCAGTTCCCACCAGAAGCTCCTTAAAGTCCTCCCAGTAGCTCCCAGTGACTCCCAGTAGCCTCCAAGGCTTCCCAGCGACCACCAACACCCCACCAGTACCTCCCAATAGCCCTCCCAGTGACTCCCAGTAGCCCCCAGGGCATCCCAGTGCCCACCAGAAGCTCCTCAAAGCCCTCCCAGTAGCCCCCAGTGACTCCCAGTGCCCACCAGAAGCTCCTTAAAGCCCTCCCAGTAGCTTCCAGTGATTCCCAGTAGCCCCCAGGGCATCCCAGTGCCCACCAGAAGCTCCTCAAAGCCCTCCCAGTAGCCACCAGTGACTCCCAGTAGTCCCCAAGGCTTCCCAGTAACGACCAACACCCCACCAGCACTTCCCAGTAGCCCTCCCAGTGACTCCCAGTAGCCCCCAGTAACTCCCAGTTCCCACCAGAAGCTCCTTAAAGCCCCCCCCAGTAGCTCCCAGTGACTCCCAGTAGCCCCCTAGGCTTCCTAGTAACCACCAACACCCCACCAGTACCTCCCAGTAGCCCTCCCAGTGACTCCCAGTAGCCACCAGTGACTCCCAGTAGCCCCCAAGGCTTCCCAGTAACCACCAACACCCCACCAGCACTTCCCAGTAGCCCTCCCAGTGACTCCCAGTAGCCCTCCCAGGGCATCCCAGTGCCCACCAGAAGCTCCTTAAAGCCCTCCTAGTAGCCCTCCCAGTGACTCCCAGTAGCCCCCAGGGCATCCCAGTGCCCACCAGAAGCTCCTTAAAGCCCCCCCAGTAGCTCCTAGTGACTCCCAGTAGCCACCAGTGACTCCCAGTAACCACCAACACCCCACCAGTACCTCCCGGTAGCTCTCCCAGTGACTCCCAGTAACCCCCAGTGACTCCCAGTGCCCACCATAATCTCCTAAAAGCCCTCCCAGTGAATCCCAGTAGCCCCCAAGGCTTCCCAGTAACCACCAACACCCCACCAGCACTTCCCAATAGCCCTCCCAGTGACTCCCAATAGCTCCCAGAGACCCCAGTGCCCACCAGAAGCTCCTTAAAGCCCTCCCAGTAGCCCCCTATGACTCCCAGTAGCCCCCAGTGACTCCCAGTGCCCACCAGAAGCTCCTTAAAGTCCTCCCAGTAGCTCCCAGTGACTCCCAGTAGCCTCCAAGGCTTCCCAGTAACCACCAACACCCCACCAGCACTTCCCAGTAGCCCTCCCAGTGACTCCCAGTAGCCCCCAGGGCGTCCCAGTGCCCACCAGAAGCTTCTAAAAGCCCTCCCAGTTCCCACCAGAAGCTCCTTAAAGTCCTCCCAGTAGCTCCCAGTGACTCCCAGTAGCCTCCAAGGCTTCCCAGCGACCACCAACACCCCACCAGTACCTCCCAATAGCCCTCCCAGTGACTCCCAGTAGCACCCAGGGCATCCCAGTGCCCACCAGAAGCTTCTAAAAGCCCTCCCAGTGACTCCCAGTAACCCCCAGTGACTCCCAGTGCCCACCAGAAGCTCCTTAAAGCCCTCCCAGTAGCTTCCAGTGATTCCCAGTAGCCCCCAGGGCATCCCAGTGCCCACCAGAAGCTCCTCAAAGCCCTCCCAGTAGCCACCAGTGACTCCCAGTAGTCCCCAAGGCTTCCCAGTAACGACCAACACCCCACCAGCACTTCCCAGTAGCCCTCCCAGTGACTCCCAGTAGCCCCCAGTAACTCCCAGTTCCCACCAGAAGCTCCTTAAAGCCCCCCCCAGTAGCTCCCAGTGACTCCCAGTAGCCCCCAGTGACTCCCAATAGCCCCCAGTGACTCCCAGTTCCCACCAGAAGCTCCTTAAAGTCCTCCCAGTAGCTCCCAGTGCCTCCCAGTAGCCTCCAAGGCTTCCCAGTAACCACCAACACCCCACCAGTGCCTCCCAGTAGCCCTCCCAGTGCCTCCCAGTAGCCCCCAGGGCGTCCCAGTGCCCACCAGAAGCTTCTAAAAGCCCTCCCAGTGCCTCCCAGTAGCCCCCCGGGGCGGGGGGCGGTACCTTTTTGTCGGATTTCTTGTCCCGGCGCTTGACGTGTTTGACCTTGACGGCGCGTTTGCGCAGGACGGGGTCCAGGAACGGGGCGTCCTCGGGGTCGCTGAGCCACGGCTGCGGCGGGGACACGCCAAGAACACGCCTCAGCACCCCCCCGGCACCTCCCGACACGGGAAAACACGCTTCAAAACACGCCTCGGGGTGCCCAAACGGGTTCAAAACACCCCTTGGGGTGACTATACATGCTTAAAACACGCCTCTACATGCTTAAACATGCTTAAAACACGCCTCGACATGCTTAAAACACGCCTCGACATGCTTAAACATGCTTAAAACACGCCTCTACATGCTTAAAACACGCCTCTACATGCTTAAACATGCTTAAAACACGCTTTGACATGCAAAAACACATTTAAAGCATGTCTTGGTGTGCCTCAACATGCTTAAAACATGCTTCAGCGTGCTTAGAGCATGCTTAAAACATGTTTGGACCCCCCCAAACATGCTTAAAACACGCTTTGACATGCAAAAACACATTTAAAGCATGTCTTGGTGTGCCTCAACATGCTTAAAACATGCTTCAGCGTGCTTAGAGCATGCTTAAAACATGTTTGGACCCCCCCAAACATGCTTAAAACACACCTTGGTGTGACTAAACATGCTTAAAACATATCTATGTAGCCGAACATGCTAAAAGCACGCTTAAAAACATGCCTTGGGGTGCCCAAACGGGTTTAAAACACACCTTGGTATGACTATATGTGCTTAAAACATGCCTCTACATGCTTAAAGATGTTTAAACACGCCTCTACATGCCTAAACATGTTTAAAACATGCCTCGGGGGCCCAAACATGCTTAAAACACGCATCGACACGTGTGAACATAGCTAAAAAACACCTGAGCACCCCAGAAACACGCCCCGACCCGGGAAAACACAACCCAACACGGAGCAAAAATACACCTCGCGTTCTAAAAACACGCCCTGACATGCTTAAAGCACGCCCTGACACGTAAAAACATGCCTTGACACGCAAAACCACACTTAAAGCATGTCTTGGTGTGCCTCAACATGCTTAAAACACGCTTCAGCGTGCTTAGAGCATGCTTCAAACATGTTTGGACCCATCCAAACATGCTTAAAACACGCTTAGGCCCCCCCAAACATGCTTAAAACACGCCTCGCTGTGGCTAAACACGCTTAGAACACATCAATGTAGCCAAACATGCTAAAAACATGCTTAAAACATGCTCGGACCCCCCCATAAATGCTTAAAACGTGCTCAGACCCCACAATTTGGGGCATTTCAGTGGGATTTTGGAAGAAATTTAGGGCCTCTGGGGCACATTTTGGGGGAAATCCGGGGGGATTTGGGGTCCCCGGGGTAAATTCTGGGCTTTTTGGGGCAATTCTGGGGGGATTTGGGGTCCCTGGGGTGCATTTTGGGGATAATTTGGAGGGATTTGGGGTCCCTGGGGCAGAATTTGGGGCATTTAGAGCCTTTGGGTTGCATTTTGGGGCATTTTTGGGCAAATCGGGGGGATTTGGGGTCATTGGTGTGCATTTTGGGGCCATTTAGGAGGAATTTGGGGTCTCTGGTGTGCATTTTGGGGAGGAATCTGGGGGGATTTGGGGTCCCTGGGGCAAAATTTGGGGCATTTGAGTAGAATTTACAGCCTTTGGGGTGCATTTTGGGGCATTTCTGGGCAAATCGGGGGGGATTTGGGGTCTGCAGGGTTCATTTTGGGGCAATTTTAGAGGAATTTGTTGTCCCTGGAGTGCATTTTGGGGAGAATTTGGGGGGATTTGGGATCCGCAGGGTTCATTTTGGGGCAATTTTGGAGGAATTTGGTGTCCCTGGAGTGCATTTTGGGGAGAATTTGGGGGGATTTGGGGTTTGCAGGGGTCATTTTGGGGCAACTTTGGAGGAATTTGGGGTCCCTGGCGTGCATTTTGGGGAGGAATCTGGGGGGATTTGGGGTCCCTGGGGCAAAATTTGGGGCATTTGAGTAGAATTTAAGAAAAATTTACAGCCTTCGGGGTGCATTTTGGGGCATTTTTTGGCAAATCGGGGGGATTTGGGGTCTGCGGGGTTCATTTTGGGGCAATTTAGGAGGAATTTGGTGTCCCTGGAGTGCATTTTGGGGGGATTTGGGATCCGCAGGGGTCATTTTGGGGCAACTTTGGAGGAATTTGGGGTCCCTGGCGTGCATTTTGGGGAGGAATCTGGGGGGAATTGGGGTCCCTGGGGCAGAATTTGGGGCATTTGAGTTCAATTTATGAGAAATTTAGAGCATTTGGGGTGCATTTTGGGGCATTTCTGGGCAAATCGGGGGGGATTTGGGGTCTGCAGGGTTCATTTTGGGGCAATTTTGGAGGAATTTGGGGTCCCTGGAGTGCATTTTGGGGAGAATTTGGGGGGATTTGGGATCCGCAGGGGTCATTTGGGGGCAACTTTGGAGGAATTTGGGGTCCCCGGTGTGCATTTTGTGGGGAATCTGGGGGAATTTGAGGTCCCTGGGGCAGAATTTGGGGCATTTATGTCCGATTTAGGAGGAATTTAGAGCCTTTGGGGCGCATTTTGGGGCATTTTTGGGCAAATCGGGGGGATTTGGGGTCTGCAGGAGTCATTTTGGGGCAACTTCGGAGGAATTTGGGGTCCCCGGTGTGCATTTTGTGGGGAATCTGGGGGAATTTGAGGTCCCTGGGGCAGAATTTGGGGCATTTATGTCTGATTTAGGAGGAATTTAGAGCCTTTGGGGCGCATTTTGGGGCATTTTTGGGCAAATCGGGGGGATTTGGGGTCTGCAGGGTTCATTTTGGGGCAATTTTGGAGGAATTTGGGGTCCCCGGTGTGCATTTTGTGGGGAATCTGGGGGAATTTGAGGTCCCTGGGGCAGAATTTGGGGCATTTATGTCTGATTTAGGAGGAATTTAGAGCTTTTAGGGCGCGTTTTGAGGCCTTTTAAGGGGGATTTGTGGTTCCCGGAGCAGAATTTAGGGGCCGGGGGGGGTCTTAAGGGAAC